TCTCAACTTTGCTGGCCTGTGCCCCTGCCATGCCATGGGATGTCCCCATTAATGCACTGGCGGTGATTGTGCCCCCCTAGCTCCCCCTCCCTCCACTCTCTTCCTGGGTAGCATGTGGGCTCTTGGGTCGGGCCCACGAGGTTGTTTTTCCCCAGGGGATGGAGCAGGGGGGCAGGGGTGGGCAGGGGACCTGGTACCCCCCCTGCTCACCAGCTCCTGGGCATCGCTAATTTAACCTCACTGTCTTCCGCCCCGCTGTGAGCTCGGGGCTTGGGGCTGTGCCCTCTCTCTGGAACAAGTGCCAAAAGTGTCACCCCCACCCCGTCCCACCCGTCCTGCCCCCTCCATCGCACTTTGTAGCAGGGGGTGGATGAGGGTGGGGGAGCTGCCCCTCACCCCTCCATCCCCACCCCTTCATCCCCATCCCTCTGGCCAGCACTGGGCTGACAGGATAAGTGGGTTTTTCTCCGGGGGACAGGCACACAGGGACACCAGTGGGGTAGGGATGCAGCCACAGACCTCGGGGACCTGATGGGGCTATGCCAGGCTCCACCCTGGAGAGCATCAGGGACAGTCAGAAGCCACTTTGAGGAGCATCAGACCCAGCATCTCAATCTAGCGAGTTCTGGAGCTGTTTGGGCCAGCCCAGGGAGGGGAGGCTGAGCCCCCCCTTTTCCCCCACTTGGTTTTCTCAGTAGCACGAGCTGGGGGAGACCCCCCAATGCAGACACAATAGCAAAGCCCACCTTCTTGCGGGAGAAAAACATGTTTCAGAGCTATGTTAGGACAGAGATGTTCATGCAGTGAAAGCAAAGTCCTGCAGCAGCCACGGGGTGTGAGCGGGGTGCAGGTCCCCACCGCCCATCCCTGCGGCAGGGCATGGGATGTGCTGATGGCCATGGCTCCTAAAGGGGGATAAAGCCCATTTTGGAGCTGGGCAGTGTTTTCTCTGCTTGGCTCATAGCTGGGGCCACGGTAGCTGCTTGCTCTATGGCCCCAGTATGGGTCCTGCCAGAGCAGGGGGTTGGTGTTGGCCATCCCACTGCTCCCTCCTCTGGGCTCCCTCCACCCTGCTGTGTCTCCCATCGGCTCAATAGCTCCCAAGCTTCTCCCCGGGAACCTGGGGCTAGGCGCATGATGGGGGGGTGACATCTCCAAACTGCCATCCCATGGGATGGGAGCTGTTAACAGCAGAGAGGGCTGGAGCAGCAGGGGGACAAGCCTTGTGCCCCATTCAGGGACACACTGCCATGGTGGGGCAACCCACAGGTTTAGGTGTCCCAGCCCCGAGGAGCCAGCAGTGCCGCGCTGGGCACAGGGAGAGCTTTGGGGGTTCACCGTCATGCTGAGCTGAGAAAACCAGGGGGGGCTGCAGGAGGCCAGGTGCTCCCCCACCCTCCAGCATGGGTAGGGGAGGGAAAATTGAATTGATGCTCCAAGGGTGGTTTGTCTACCAAAGCTCAACCTTCCTTGCAGTTTCGAAGGGGACAACAAGAGCTCTCCAGGCCTGGCCGGGCACCATGGCGTATGGCTGTGACAGTGCTCGTGGCTGCTGGCAGGTCAGAGCAGAACAGGCAGGTCCTTGCTCAGGAGGGTCTCAGGAGGTGACCAGGAGGGTTTTTCCAGCTGCTCTGTGTGTCCCCAAGGCTGCAGGAGCAGCCAGGCGAGCTCGTGGGGTGGCTGCAGACCAGGACTGCGGCTGCCAGCGAGCACAAGGCAATAAAGAGGAGCTGGGAGGACGCTGCGGCCAAGCAGCATGCTGCTGCCGTGGTGCGAGCAAAGAAATGAGCATCCTCTGCCATGGCGCAGGAGAGACAGGATTTTGGCGTGGGTGGCACCAGCGCCGTCCTCGGCCACCCAGAAGGGACAAGGGGTGGGCAGGAGCCTCCAGTGCTGGCAGTGTGGGGTGAACGGCAACAGCCCCTTGTCTTACAGGGCAGCCCCTTGTTCCAGTGATCCGCCTGTCAGGGATTTAAGGAAGGAAACCAGATTGCTGCTTACGACTTTGCTTTGAGCATGTTTTGGATTTTAAGAGTATGTTTAATAAAGGGTATCTTATGTCGATGAAGTGTCCAGAGTTGTTTCGTGGTTACAAGGCGAGGGCAGTTGGGGTCTTGGGGGCTCAGTGGGTGGAAACCCTTTTTGGCTGGGAGCATTCAACCACCCGTCACCCAGGCACCTCCCCAAAACCAGCTCAGCTGCTTCAGATCTGCTAAAACACTTCCCAAGGTCCCTTCCAACCTGCATTACCTAACCATCCTAAATCCTGCCTCCTCTGAGCCCTGCCAGGATGGAGAAGGTGTGGATGCAAAACCTCTGCAGGAAGAGTCTGGCCTGGGGTAGCAGCACCTTCCTGGCGTGGGGTGCAGGCAGATGGCACAGGCTCCGTGGGCGCTGGCACTGCTGGGACGGATGAGGACACCCAGAGGGGACTTTTCCTGGAGGAGAAGAGGAGCATTAAGGAGCTGGGTGCTCATGCAGGAGAAATCCCTCCAGCGCTGGGGAAGAAAACTCATGCTGGGAAATGATGCCTTGAAGGTGAGGGGGGGCTATAATTTGGTTTTAAAGGAGGAGGGTGATGCATGGTGGGGGGAAGCACCTTGCAGTTGCCAGAGGAGGGCTCGCAGGGGACCAGATCCTGCAAAGGGGGAGGATGGGGATGGGAGAATTGAGGCCTGAAGTGCTTTGCCCCAGGCTGCTCAGGAAAGCCCTAGAGCTCTCGCTGCCTTTGGGTGCATTTTTGCAGGGGCAGGTCCCACCCCCGAGGGAGCTGACTTGTTAGAAGGGCGGAAAACTGAGGTTTAGGGTTGTTTTCTGGATATTGGTCCACTGAAAAGTGAAACAGAAATTTCCTCTCCCCTGGGAGTTGCCTCCTCCACACCTATGTCCCAGCACCTGCCACCTCCCAGCCTGCGGCCACTGGGGACGGACACGAGCAAAGGGGCACCTGCCTGTGCACTGGGGAGAGGGCTTGACACCCCCCCCCCAGCCTGTCTCGCCCAAATCCCTGGGGATCCTGGCAGGAAATCCCTTATTGTACACACCACTTCTGGCAGCAGCAAGCCCCGCGAGCAGGTCTGGCTTCTCACCTGCCCCTTTGCTCTCAGATGTCCTTCCCCTGTGGGGCAGGCGCAGGAGGAGTGTTTAAACCTCCCCAAGACACCCTGAAGCCCCCCACTCCCCCAAAGGGCAGGCGTTGAGCTGCGGGGTGAAAGCAAACAGGCTTCCCTTGGGTTTTGCGGCTGCTCTCAGCCCCCTTGCTCGGCGACAGGGGTCCCTCACTGGTCTCTGTTAAAGCCCTTGGGCTGGCAGTGAGGGCGGGGGGGTCAGGGATTTCGTACAGAAGCATATGGCTGTGATCCTTTCAACGAAGGCAGGCCCCACCCTTTAATTTGGGGGTCTGCCAGCCCCCCTTTCAGTTTTGCCCTCCTCGCTGCGGGCTCCTCAGGGGCCGCAAGCGGGATGGGGGCACAGGCAGGAGGAAGAGGGTTGGGGTGGGGGCCAGGACACAGGTTTTGGGTTTGCTGGTGCTGCTGGGGCTGGATTTGGCCCCGGCTGTGGGGTACGGGGGGGGGTGTGTGTCCCGCACCCTCCCCACCGCATCCCTGGGTACCACAACCCTGCCCATCCCCAACCTTCAAGCGTCCCCATCCCCATCCCGGGGTCCGTCCCCCAAAATGGCCAAGTCTCAGCCCAAACTGGCAGGTACCCTTCAACTCCCCATGGCAACGCGAGGACCAATAGCAGGGCCGGAAGCTGTTTACGAGGCGGAGCGTCGCCATGGCAACGCGTGAAGCCTTTCGGAGCAGCTACTTAATGGCAGCCCCCGGGCGACCGGCAAATCACGGCGGGCAGGGCCTGGCACCGCGCGGGCCACCGCTCCCCCGGAGGGGGGGATAGCACAAACCCCCCCGCCATCCCCACGGCTGGGGCTTTTTTTTTTTTTCTTTCTTTCTTCTCGCCCCCCCCCTCCTTTTTTTTTTTTTTTTTTTTTTAATTTCCTCCTGTTTTTCCAGAAGCTTCTTGCTCTCTCGTGAACTTTGGAAGTTGGGGGGCGTCGCCGGGACGGGGTAAGGGATGGCGGTGGTGGCCGAGAGCAGGGGGGAGCGGTGGGGTCGCTGGGGAGGGCGGTGGGAGGGGCCCGCCGGACAGCACTGCTGAGGGCTCGGCAGGTTTGCACCGGGCGGGGAGGGGGGTTCTCCTTATT